CTGCGCGAGACCCACGACCTGGCGATAGCCGGTCATCTCGGGGTCAAGAAAACCTTGGCGCGTGTGAACGAGAGATATTTTTGGCCTGGCTGGAGGAAATCCGTCAAGGCATACGTACGTTCCTGTCGAAAGTGTCAAGCATACAAGGTCCCTCAGGATAAGCCGGCCGGACAGATGTATTACCGTAACCCTAAGGGCCCGTGGCATGTTATTTCCACCGACTTGATGGGCCCGCTGCCTCGTTCGAAGAGCGGAAACACATTTATTCTGGCTTTCCAAGACGTATTTAGCAAGTGGACGGAGATGTGCCCTATCAGATCAGCTACCGCTAAGAACGTAGCGTCCAAGTTTAGGGAGCGAATTCTCCTACGATACGGGTCTCCAGAAGTCTTACTTTGCGATAACGGGGTCCAGTTTGTGTCGAAAGTGTTTAGAGACTTGGCTGAGGATTGGCGCATCGAATTTCGCAACACGGCGCCTTACTCTCCTCAGTCGAACCCCATCGAGCGCCAGAATCGCGTGATCAAGACCATGGTGTCACAGTACGTGGGCGAAGACCATCGCACTTGGGACACGCATCTGCCTGAGTTCCAGTTCGCGTTGAACTCCGCGATTCATGACTCAACGGGTTACTCTCCGGCGGTCCTATTACTGGGCAGACAGCTGCGCCCACCGCGAGCCCTGGCAGATTCCCACCTGGGTCTAGCCGAAGCGTCCGTCGACGAGTCGTTGGAGGATATCCACGACCAGCGTCAAGCGCGGTTCCGCCATATCTACGACAAATGCCGTAAGAATCTGGAGGCTGCTTTCCGGCGACAGGCCAACTACTACAACCTACGACGCAGGCCCGCAAATTTTAACGTAGGTGACGTGGTGCTACGCAGAATGCGCACGCTCTCCTCGGCCGCTGATTCCGTCGTAGGCAAGTTGGCACCGAAATTCCGAGGGCCATGTACAATACGAGGACGTATTGGGGCGAATCTATACTCTGTTTCCGACCCCTCGAGCCGTGCATACGTGACAGTACATGCGAAGGATCTAAAGCCGTTCGTCGAGCGCTAGCACGCGAAATACGAGAGTGACGCGCGAGGTGGCTTACTGGTGGGTCCACGGACATTTGATTACCGTTCGCCACTCGTGCCGGCATGCGCCGCGTGTCACGATATGAAGGTAGAGCGCGCGATACTTTAAGGTTACTATGTGTTTCCCTTCCTTAGGTGGGTCATATGGTGGCGGGTGCAGTTCATTAGCTTAGAGTTGACGATGCATGTTTGCTTTCAGGTTGAGATCACCCGCTATCACTTTAGACTGCTTCTGCCTTTTTAGCTAGTGCACAATAAGCTTGATTTTCTCCGCTGTAGTAATTGCATGCTTTCCGCTTTCTATTGACACACAATTTTCTGATTTTTCTTACCCGACCCCGACACCGTTCACCCTTCACCGTCATCGTTCTCCCGTTCCATCGTTCTCCGTTTTGTACACGAATTTCCCGCTTGAACCATGTACGCATTCGCCCTACGTCCGAACATCCCAGTCGCCACGGATGAGTTGACGACCCTCTACCCAAACGAGCTGATCTCGGAGGGGGTTATCGATGCGTTCCTCCGCATCGTTGAGCGGCGCAGCACGCTATTCGGCATGGCCTCCGTTTTCGCGTTGCGAGTCCGGTTCCGTGCTGCCTTTTTGGGTGGGGGCTATGACGCCGTTCAGAATGAACTGGGACGAACCGATCTTTTTTGCCGCGACATCGTCCTGGTTCCGCTTTTGTTGACTCACATCAGCGACGTTGGTCATTGGTCGCTGATTATCGCCCGGCCCAAAGATAGACTCATCCTGGCCTACGATTCGGCCGACACAAACCTCGATGGCGAGATGCGCTGGGTCCTGGAGTTATTCCGGACTCATGCTCATGACCACCAGCGTGAGTTCGTGTCGACCGAATGGCGTCTGTTAGGGACACCCGAATCGCTTCCCCGCCAGATAGACGACAATTCTTGCGGGATCTACGTTTGCGTTTTCTCGGATTGGGTGGCCCGTGGTCGGAACTTCAACCGTAGTTTTTGCCCACTCGTTGCCCGGAAGACCGTTTTCCGGGTCCTCATCCGTCAGCGGTTCGACAATGAAGACTACGGGATGTTGGAGCCAGAAGACCCCAGGAGGGACAACCGGTTCGCCGGCACGCCACCGCCCGTCCAGCCACCCCGGATTGTTTTGAGTTCTCCAAAGGACGACGTGGTCCTCGGTCCCTTCACCGACCACGACCCGCTGCTCCAGGAGCTAGAAGAGGCTATTAACGCGCCATCGTGGACGACCGTCTCACCTTTCTTTCCCCCACTGGTGAAAACCGTGGGTGGAGAGGATGCAGGCCTCGTCAGGGTACCGGGACCAGCCGCACCATCTGAGGCAACCGCCGGACCCTCCGCCCCGAGGGAGGGGGAAGAGTCATTAACCCAGCCGACAGAGTTCGCCGAAGCGTCTGTAGCAGCTGACGACGACGTTATAATCCTGGACACATCCGACTTGGAAGGCGAGGAGGAAGAGGAACCACCCCGTCGACCCGCGGTTGCAACGGCCGCGCTGGTGGAGGTATCCCCAGCCGACCGTCGCAATGCTCCCGCCGATGCACGTCACGCCCTGATCGCCACCGCGTCGACTAGCCGGCCAGTGCCACGGGAGGTACGCGCCCTCCTGTCCAACTTGCCGTTGGAAGACACGGGGCGGCGCAGGAAGAACCAAAGGATGAAGGTCTTCAGGGAAGACGGTACGTTTTTCCGGGTCCGAACGAAGAAGCTGAGGACAATGAAGGACATCTATTGAGGCGACGCGCCCATTTAAAGAAGAGTTTTTAGTTTCCGTTTTCTTTGTTTTCGCTCAAGTAGAGCTTCGCGACAGATGTCGTTAATACCCTAAGTTTGGGTATTCTTTTTTTCTTTTTTTCGTTTTTCTTTTTTTCTCTGCGAGGTAAGAAGGGGGTGTAACGACCCAAAAGCCGTCAAGGGGATAAAAGCCGTTTTTAAGTTTTATTTAGAAGTATTAGTTTTCGTTCGGGGTAAACCGCGCCCGCGTTGACAACGGCATCGAAGGAGCAGGCCTACGTCATCGTAGTGGGGAGGAAATTAGTTAGCTACCCTGCCGCCAGGAGCGATGGGGAAGAAGGGCCAGAGGAGCCGACCTCGAGTTCAGTTGTCTACCGGCTTCAGATTGATAAGGACGTCGCTGTTTGGAGCAATCCAACAATTAGCAAAGACCCGAGTCATCCTGGTGAGTTAAATACAGTTTTCCCCTTGGTGGTGGAGCCCTTAACTATTGTGTGCTACCGTTATAGAATTCCGTTTATTTTTTTAGTTGTAGAGAAGTTTAATTTTTATTTTAATTGTGCCGCAAAAGCGCGCTGCGCGCGACTCGCACGCTTTTTCCCGCCGTCAGCACACATACCCTCGGCTCTTACTTGCCACGAAATTTATTCAAATCACCCGAGTAATATCCGTAGGGATTATCCCGTTACCCCGAGCCGTCTTACGTAAATTTTGGTTTAAGAAACCCCGTACCAACTCTGGTGATCGACCGAGTCTAATTTTCCCGACACGTTTACTTTGGTGATTACCAAGTATAACGACCGATTCACTTTTTAGTTAAGTTTCTAATTAATTAGGTCATCCGCATTCTCGATAATTTATTCAAAATTCCAAATTTAACTTCACATATTTTTCGAGTGGCTATGATGAGCACTTTTTAAAGGTAAGCTTAACATTGTAAGCATAATTGTTGTAATTAATATTCTGAGCCAATAAACTCGAAACGATAATTAATTAACGAACACGTTAGAGTCCTGGACTATCTCATAGTAGGCTAAGCTATCTGGACAAATTTAAGGTGTGACAGAATTTCAGGTTAGACGACAATTACGCACTTTAAAATCTAATTTTGTCTCTCAACCCGAAATTTCGTCATAGATTTAATCATTATTTTACAATTGTAGGCTATTTCATTGACACATTAGAAGCAACTATACGACTCCAACGGAAGGAAAACCAAGTTATAAAACAAGAAACACTGTTAATTTTAAGTAACATAAAATTGATAATTTTAGAAACATATTTAGAATATTTGTCTTTTTATATATGGTTTTTTTTATTGTAGTCTAAATTAGGGGCTATGGCCCCTACAGGCCACTAGTATATCAATTAATTTAAGTCAGATGTAACCACCGGTACTTAAATTTAACAGTTCGAAGAGCAGAGGTTAAGAGGTACAGGTTCTGCTCCCGAGATATTCTAAAAATATAGAACAAGCATTTTAAAGTAAAGATAAAACATCTGATTACAGGTAATAAGGTTTTGGTTATATATTAAGAGGCAATATAAAATAGATTTAACATCTTACTTTAAAGACTAAAAAGTAGAAAATAATTTATAAATATGTTGAGAGAATAAATACTTGTAAGATTTAAACGAAAAACGTTGGGCGCATACAATAGATCATAATAGTTCAATAGGTGAGGTTAATTATAAATTAGCATGTGCCCCACGTTTTCCGTTTTAAATCCTACAAGTATTTATTCTCTCAACATATTTATAAATTATTTCCTACTTTTTAGTGCGTTTAAAAACGTAGCATTTTTAAAAAGTATTTTTATTTATAAATTATTTTACTAGGCCTACTCGGAATCATGAAATCATACCATATTCTGTAATTTTTACATAATGCTTGTAGGCTATTTATTTTTGTGTCAGCCATTGGCATTTACATATTGTTGAAAGAGAACGGTCCAAACCCTAGTCTTGTTACTATCTAACGCCATCCTTTTATTATTACATACGGTAGCATCATTAATTGATAGCCCAATAACAAATGGCATCTGGGTCTGGTAACGATCTCGCTTGGAATTGAGCCAGCGACCTTCAGATTTGAGGACGAGCACTATCCACTCCGGATGCTGTACAGGATTTGAGAAAATTCTGTTAAAACTTAAAAGAAAATTATAATACAGGCCTACTCACCCTCCAGATATGATCAGGTTGAATGCAAATAGAACGAATGGTAGGTACATAGCTTTAAAGCTGGTTCCAAACCAAAAGTTTACAATGACATCTTTGTTTAGTTGACACCACACATAGAGTACACTTAGCACCATAGAATCCATCAGCAACTGTAAAAATATAATATTTAAATTAGCCTTGACACTTTTAAAATGCAAAGATTGTGATATAAGAACATGACATCGGAAGCTCATCATTTCCCCTGACATCTGAGCTTCTAATCAAACGATTGTTACATCTTCCACCTCAAACCCTAGACTTCCTTGAAAAGTCTAAACTAGTTGCATAACAATGAATAAGCTAAATATTGCAACACATATACCTAATGAAAGGAAAAACTGATGGAGAAATATTGGATTAAGTTTTAATACAAGGAAGCTATAATAGATCGAAACTGAATTTTAGTGACCTATCTTAACTTGGGTTTCTCTATATTGGATGTAAACTTGATATATACATATCAACCAAACATCTGGTATAATATTTAAACAAACATTAAACAGTCAAATATGGAATACTTCAATAAATTACACTTAGGCCTAATCAGGTATTAAACCAATTTAATAAAAAAAACTTTAAACAAATTACAGTAATTGCTTTTTTTAGTCTCTTTAAAATGGGTTAAAAAGAAATGGTGAAATTTGTATTTTGAAGGTTAAAAGTAAGAAAACCAAGTATTTCCTCATACACCCAAATGGATAATCAAATCATTTAAACGGATTAATTCAAATTGATCTATAGGGATGAAAAGTATTAAGATCGAACATCAAAATTTGTGTATCCGAGCGGTCAAACATGTTCAAAGCAGGGTTTTCCAATTTTTGACCCTAAAAACATAAAATTTTGCAATTTATTTTGAAACCATTTTGTAGGGCTCAAAAAAAACAAACAATTTAGTATATTGAAGCGTTCTCATGCACCTAATAGTTACGGAGAATATTTTTAATGAGATATTTTAGTGTAAATCCAATCAGGCAAATGGAAATTCGCTTAGTCTGCAAGTTTGCTGCTGTGGGGGTATTTTTTGTAATTTGGAAACTGTTTTCAAGTCATATTTACCATAACCTCATTCTTAAAACCAACAAAAGATATATGATGACTTAAATAATTTGTGTCCGAGTATGACGAAAGTTGGCTTAAAGGTATAGGGTAAGATAAACTTGGCCTCTAGGGACATCAAAATGAAAAAGTAAATTGGTCCCGTGTGTATGTCTCACTAAGCCACCTACGGCAATAAACTAGTTCCCTGTAGGGAAATTCGGTAAAATCAGAATTGTATATTTTTCTTGTGTGTAGTTTTTTGCTTGAGGGTGGAATAATAGCTTGAAGATCACATACAGTTATGTTTTACATCAGCTAATAATCACTCATGATGTGATGATAAAACACTCATGGGTGTTAGCAATACCCTTGGACTCTTTTTAGTGAAACAAATTTTTGACACTTGACAACTATTTATGCAAACTAAATAATTTACAGTTCCACATGCTGTATATTTTTTAAAGAGTAAGACAGTTAATTTGTCTCTCATTTTCTTTATCAATAATCATACATTTTGCAGACAGTTTTTTTGTACAATTTAAAAAATAATTAGTAGGCCTAATACAAAATAAAAGGATCATACTGGAATCTCAGCGACAAGGCCGATGATGACGCAAGCCAGCCAGTTGAAGAGCAGCATGAACAGGTAGTCAGCCGACCTCCCAGCATACTGACCTATGAAACCAAAGATAACGATAAGTTTTTTTTTTTTAAACGATGGTTTAACGATAAGTCTATGTTGGCTACAAAATGTATCACTTGATCACTCTAGTAAGACAGCAGAACATATTTTACATGATTTAAGCTGAATCTGAATGTAATGTAGGGTGTGTGTGTACAATGGACTGAGATGATCTTTGATGAGCTTTGTTACCAACATTCAGTTGTTTCTTTAGCCATGACCATTTTATAAAAAGCCAAACGATCTAGAACAGGCAAGTTCATTTAAAAAACTTGCTAAACTATACTGGCATTTCTTAGGATAAAATGGCGACCTTCTGGTTGTTAGGCGAGCACTAAAACCACTCTGATACTGTACACAGAAATACTATTAATTTAAGTCTGGGTAGTCAAATGGTTCACCTTCAAATCTGAAGGTTGGTGGTTCCATTTCACACAAGACCCAGTTTCTTGACAGAGATGCCATTTGTCATTGCGCTATAAACTAATGATGCTGTCTAACAAAATGCTGATGCTAGATAGTAACATAGCCTTTCCCTTTTATAACGATAAAAAATGCCATAAGCATAGAAACACAAAGAAATAAATGAATTTGACAGACGCTATTGTCTTTTGTTAGCAATTCAAAGAATTACAATGACATTTAAGAGAACATTACTTTTAATGCATAGATTCTAAGTTACTATGTTGGCACCTTTTGATTGTATAACAGTCTTCAAAAATTTGACTAGGTATGAGGTCTCAGGTCCGCCAATTGAACGGAGCAAACATAGGGGTAAATAGAAAAAGTTTATATTATTAAATTGAGTTTTGTGTATTAGAAACCATTCTTAAGCCTGGTTTACATGAGTTGAGTATGGCAGTCGAGTTGTTCGGCCCAGTTACTGGGCCCAGTTGTTGATTAGTTCAACTCGCCCAATACTTGACTGTCCACACGCATCCCTACTTCTGACCACAGCCGCCTTTAACTCCAGGCCGCGGCCTTCGAAGTGGCAATGTCGCAAGTAGGGTTGTAACAGCTGTTTTGTTTGGAAGCAGCTAATGGTATTTTTGTATTTACGAAAGATTGGTTACTGGACTTTGACAATATTGACTCCGCTTAAAATGTACAGATATAGATATTTAATTCATATTGTTTTGGTTTTTGATTCTGCATGTTTTATTTTCAATATTTTGATAAATTTATGTTAATAAATATAAATTTAAACCAATAAAGTGTGAATTAATGAGCTGATGTCACCTTCCTGCCATGTTATCTTATGAGACGTCTATCTAACACTTAACAACCCCACTTGCGACGTTGCCAATTACCAGGCCGCGGCCTGGAGTTAAAGGTGGCAGGCTTCTGACAGGGGCATAGAGAAACAATTTTTATTACTTCTTTATGGTGTAGTGTAGGGTATTCTGTATACCTTAGCTTACGTGTTAAATATTTTTTGAGTTTAATGGCAAGTCGAGAGTTTAATACTGAATTTAGAGCTAAAATCACTGAATTTGATTATTAGAATTAAAACGAAATCACTACTTAAATTCAGAGGTTGCTTAGCTTTTTTGCAAACAACTTTTAAATGGTGAGGAAATCGACCGAAGTGGAAGGTGATATTCTGAAAGAGAAAACAATTTGCTACAAATTACTTTAATGCATTTCTTGGAAATTTTTAATAAAGGCAGCCAAAGGTTGCCTCAAAATAAAAAATAATTTAAAAGCCGTTTTCTATGTATTTGTTATGGAAAACGTGTTTAGGGAGTGACCTTTCTAACAACCCATTGATTAATAATATCGTTCCAGTAGAACTGCTTTTTTTAGGAATCTTATGAGAGTAGATTCACGCACAGCAAGAAAATGCAACACAGAACATAGAGTCAACTGTTTAAGTGAACCATTGAGTGTCGAGTGAGTGGGCCTGCTCTGAAGTCTGAACTAACCTCAATACTGACTCACTCAGCGATTACCTACAGAATAAAAAATATAAATTTAATTCTGTGGTTGGTTGACTCACTAGACAGCAGTGAACAAATGTTTCGCGGGCAAATTGTGGTGAAGCGTAGTTACCGGGCCGAGCAACTCAGTAAAAAGTAGTTACTGAGAAAGAAGTTATTATGAGGCCAGATCTAAATGAGCTCCCCTTAACAAGGGAGTTGATTGGCTTAGCCTATGTGATAATTTTAGCTCAGAACAATATTTATTCACAGTCAGGAGAGCATAAACATTAAAATAAAATAAAAACATAAATAAAAATAAATAGTCTAAACAAATAACTTATAGGCCTAATGGTTTTGGCGGGGTAAGTAAAGATTTTTCAAACTTTACTTGTTAAACATTTTTTAACCAAGCCATGTCAGAAATGCTAAGCGTATTACCAGTAGTAGGTGTTTAACTTACCAGTTTCAAGTCTCATTGAATAATTGTATAGAAAGTAACAATTTATCAAGAAGTGGAATCCAGTTGCTGAAGATATTGGATAGAAGAATAGAGCTGTAAAAGGTCTCCATATCTGAAACAATAGGCCTTAATTTGTTTTCTAGATCTACACGTTTGCCACTGTGATTACTAAGAAGTAGGCCTATCAAAATTTTAAAAAATTCGTTTGGAGGCACCTATACGGAATAATTACCGGCTTTTCTTTGAGTGAGAATGTCAACATTAAAATCGCGTAAACTATAATTACCGGTAGGTAGTTTGTGATAAATATAGGCTATCATTTAGCCTAGATCAAAGCCATCCAGGAAAACATTGTGGTTAACATTAGGGACCCTATATAAGTTAATAGCCTAATGATTCTAAGATTAATTCCACAGTAACTTACGATAGGTTGCTGCATACTAACTATCACGCATAGGCCTACAACTTCAAAGTCACTCTCGATACAGTAATTGCTCACATCAATATCTTGTTAAATCAGACAGCACATTGTGTATAACTTATAACGACGCCACCTCTGGTCTTAAATATTAGTTCAGCAAAACATACAGTAGATGCACAATTGTAGCCCTCGATCACCATTAAATCTCTGTTAGACTCAGTAAACCAATGCTCACAAACACAGAGAATGCCTACCAGTCTTACATACAAGTAACTACAGGACGTACAACTAAAGAATAAAAAGAATGAGAGATAGGCTACCCTTCAAAACCCTATGAGGCCAACATCCAACACAATTCCCATCAAACAAATTGCCTTTAACTTTTTCCAGTTGTTCTCTTAAGTTAAGTAGGCTGGCTAATTTGCCAGAAAAGTGTTACTAGCCTAGTGGTTGGCATCTCGGACTATGATGCGGGAGGTACTAACTTAAGTTAGTTCAATTGCCCCACACCAATACATCCACAACAAACATGGATTTTGACCGCTTTCCCATAAAGCTTTTAAGTAGGCCTACTTTCTACAGTAGGGGCCTAACTCTTCCAGCAAAAATGGTGTGGCGTAGACATGAAGAAACAAAATAAGGGTGATATTTGCCCAAAATCAACCTCTAGACTCTACCTACTTGAAGCAGTTTGATTAGCCTAGGCTATAAGTTTAAGATTTATAAAAATATGCTTAATATGGTTTTGATTTAATTTACAAAAATAATAAAGATTATGATCTAGGCTGGAAACTCACCTGGAATCTGTGGATCAATGGTTCATAGGCCAATATGAGATGGTAAGCATTGAGAAGTTTAAATCTCCCCAGTAATGAGAGTCCAGCTGTAAGAGATAACCACCATCTAGTAAATATTGGCACGGAGTTAAACCAGTCACTAAGTTCACTCATTTTCTTCAGATATTGTAGGCTTACAATATAAACGTAGGCCTAGGCCTATATTTTCCTAAACACGTCAAATTTCACACAACACACAACAGGTTTTAGAACCTTAAATAATATCGTCCGTCATCCATCGGCGACAATTCCGAAAATCCGAAGACTACTTTTTACTTTTTATAGGCCTAAGTTTAGTTTAACAGCTGAATTTCATATGGACACGTGTCCCACAATGACAGGGGGAAATGTAGGGATTGGGATTAGGATTTCGTCAAATTCGTAGGCCTAGCCTAAACAGACAGATAGAGATAAGATTACTCAAAATTATTCGATTAGTCGAGCCGGAACGGAGTCGAATAGTGAGTTTTCAAAAGTGTGTGGGTGGATTTGGGATTCGCGTGGGGTCCTAGATTATCGACATCCCAAAAGATCGACACTGAAATAGTCCCATATTGTCGACAACTCAAAATACAAACAGACAATCCAATATTACCGGCACTGTAGGTATTATGAGTTGTTGACAATATAGGACTATTTCAGTGTCGATCTTTAGGGATGTCAATAATCTGGGACCCCACGGAGTAGCCACTGCCGGACTCGGACTGCCACGGCCACCTTTTAAGGCGGCCGTGCGGTGGTCGTCTGTCGGGAAGGTATCGTATCGTAGTAGTAGTGAGCAAAGTCGCTACGTGTGTCACGGGACACGGCTAGATAAAAAATAAAATTTTCCAAATATTATTTTAATATTCGTATTTTAAATAGAATGAGAAATATTCAAACAACAATTTTAATTTAATTGAAATTTTATAATTCTGGGGCAGTCGTTATTAAAAGTAAATATCGGTGCTACATAGTAGGAAATAGGAATACGGTAGCCTGGCTATGTTGAAATAAAAATAATTACCAAAAGTGTTTCTAAATTTTAATTTGTTTTTGTTTAATTAAATACAAACAATAAACAAGATCAAAAAACGGGAGAATCAAGCTAACCTTTAAATACTAAATTATGCTTGCTTTGTGAAGCTTTTCGTTGATCTAACCACAGTAAACATCGTTATTAACTAGATTAAATATTTAAGTTTTCATTTGAACAGTAGCCTAAACTTACTTTGATTCAAATTTCTTGATACTGTACCCTAGTTATGGCCCAACAAGATCAACAATTTCTATGGAGTGTTTTCCAAAAGTAAGTAGTCAACCAAGCCAGATTTAGCATCCTTGCCTTGGCGCTGTGCTTAATATTAGCCTACTATAAGTTAACTTTTAAAACTTAACTTTAGTTCTCTAGAAAAAAGTGACTAGATTTTGCTTTAATACCTACAGTTAGCTAAAGTTATAAATTGGCCTAGGTAGCCTATGTGATTGTTGAACGACTGATTTGGCAGCACAGTTTAGCCTTGTTCACACGGGGCGAGTTTGCAAGCTACACGCAGGCTTTTTTACACGCAGCTAGTAAAAAAGCTCAGTGTGAACGACGTACTCGCTCAAAAGCTGCTTGTAAAAACGCTCTGGAAAAAGTTGGCGCTGCCGCTACTTTGCACGCCAACTCGCCAGCTTTTGAGCGAGTAAAATAGGTGTGTAAAGTAGCCTAGTGTGAAAACAGTTGCTTGTGCTTGTACACATGTTACTCAAAGATGTCGGAGGATTTGGTTCAAGCCAGCCACTGAGCGAGTGGAAAAAGCATCGTGTGAACGACTACAAGCGCACTCGCCGGCGTCTCTCTACGAGTTGGCGAGTGGACAAGCTCCGTGTGAACGAATACAAGCGCACTCGCCAACTCGCCGCTTCTTACACGCTTGAGAGTAGCTTGTAAACTCTCCCCGTGTGAACGAGGCTTTTAGTTAGTTAGGCATACATGGCACTCTGTCACAGGTTAGGTTAAGGAAGACTAAACTAACCTGAGGGTAGGATAGGACAATGATTGGGTTGGCGCCATGGGTAAAATGTTTAACTAACTTACCCACCAATCAAAAGATTGCTGTAAGATTCTGCTTTTGAATGGTCTAAAATTGTAGATTGAAAAACTTAGGCCTACAAAATTATTAATTCCTTTATTCAAGCCTTTTATTGCTGTCCCTGTCTTCAGTTATCGAACACAATATCAAAACTAAGTTATCAAGTTAACGGCCTTATTCCTAAAGGCAATTCCTTGTTACCAATACTGTACATTTAACTATGTATACATTTGGGGTGGATTAATAAGTTAAGTTAACCTATCATGAAGTCTATCTGTTAATCTTTGGTGATCTATTTGCAAAGATGATGTTTCATGATTCTGTAGCTCGACCTGATAATGGGTGAATACAACCCGAAATGTATACCTTTAATGTATACATATAGTCTTGTATAGTTAAACATGTTAGAAACAAGGAATTGCCAGGACTGAATGAAGTAGGCCTATGTAACAATTGGGCCTACCTACGTATAATTGAGAAATTCCAGAGGGGACCTCCTGTCCTGATAATTACCTCCTCCTTACTAAGAATAGCAGAGCCGGTTAGGTTGTGTCATTTTAACACTAACAGATTATCTTCAAAACATAAACTTCCAAAAATTACATACTATGTTAGTGGATGAATAAGCTGTAACTATAATTTTGACAACAAACAATAAAAACTGTTGTACTCTCTCATATTTAACTTATAGTCAGAGAACTCTAAAGCACGGGTCACACTAGGCTGCTCGCCAGCCGCTGGTGATCAGTAGCTGGCTCCACCATCACCAAACAGGCTGTGTCAGCTGCGAATTTTGTGGTCACATTACACTGACAGTAGCGGCTACTTTCAATTCGCCGCTGATGCCAGCTTAATGTGATCCGTGCTTAAGTTCACAGAATCATAACCTTTGATAGGTGACTTTAGGGTTGTGGATGTTAAGATATGTGATTATCTGTCATTTCAATAATTTTCCTCTAAGTTTTTTTACAGCTGTGATATTATTATTAATGCAGCTTTTTCATATAAACAAATAATATGAGTTTGTATGTAGATGTGAACATAGCAAAATGTCTAAATAGGCCTACAATTATTCTTTCCTGTATCAACAGTAGCTATTTTATTTAATTTCAACAGTGGAAGCCATAGATACCTGTTTCCCTTCTGGAATTGCATAAAAACCATTTTCAATTACAACAGCTCGGTTTATAAAACTATCCGTACTCCCAGTACCTAAAAAGACTTATCAACCAAAACTTCAACAGTTATTTTATTCCAATAACCCCGCACAACTGCTTTTGACAGTCCATTGAAGGCAGCTGCACATGAAAGCGTGGATAGGCCTTCTACCAAAGAAGAGGCATTAAAGGTCTTACCTTGAGCTTCCATCAACCTGCATATTTTCACAAAATGTCCCCTTTTCTTACAACCAGAGCAAGTAGCATCTTTGGCAGGACAGTCGTTTCAAGTAAAATGACGCCGGCCACCGCAGTAGAAACACTTCTGTTTAAAGTTTTTCGCCACAGCAGCTGAAGTAGGAGACTCTTCTCAGGATCTATATTTTCATCCAGTTGATCTGGCATTGTTGACGGAAAAGTTGCAATATGTGACTTAAATTTGGTTTGAAGATCCATATGCACAGCTCTTCTGTGTAGATTCAAGTGAACGTGAAATGTCCTCAGTTTCTTTTAATGTTAAGGATGATTTTCTAGTAGTCTTTGTCGAATGCAAACAGACATACCCCCCTTCCCCTCTCAGCATTCTGTTTGCATTCCAGGATATTCATTGTGTAGCCAGAAATAAATATCCTTCCTTTCCTTGTTCTGATTATCTACAAATGTTATTGATTCTCATCTATCACGAAAACAGCTGATTGCTTTGTACAGTAATATTGTCGATTGATCATTATTGTATTAAATGATACTTCTGGAACTTCTGGAAAGAAAATTAAAATGTAAATAATTTAGTGTGATTTTATATTGCAAATACTTTGCAAAATAAGTTATTGAAATTTCTAGTGAAGAAATAACTTTAATTTATAAATTCCAAGGTGGAGTTTATACAGACCTTTTGAGTTTTATTGTGTGTTTGACTATTCTATTCCAAAATGAGATTTTTATCTTTTGTCAAGCAAAGTCAACTTATTGAACAAAGACTTAGTAGTATTGACAAGCAAGTTACAACATTAAGTACTGTTCAAGCCCTTGAATCTTTAAATGATCAACAAATAAATAGAATAAAGTTACTTTCAACTGCAGCTTCTCAAAAACATGCAGAATTTGAAAAAATTGTTAATAAGTTGTTCTCTACAACTCCCCTACCTGAAGACATTGTAGATGAAAAGGTAACCGAACTTCAAGATAAAATATCTGACCTGTACATAAATATTAGTAGCTTATGTAGCACATTAATACCTACACCTGCAGTATCTGAGCAATTGAATCAGTCCACCGCTAGTTCAACAGCACAAGCTGTGGCTGTACCTCCGACAATAAAATTGCCTTCATTGGATTTAGGTAAATTCTCTGGTCAACCAGACCAGTGGATGTCGTTTCATAGCATATTTGAAAATGCAGTTCATACTAATGAGTCACTCAGTAACATAGAAAAATTTACATATTTGCTATCCTGTCTCTCAGATGAGCCATTGAGTTTGGTGAAATCTTTGCCTCTTAACGCTGCGAACTATGCTATAGCATGGCAATCTCTGATAGATAGATACCACAATACAAGGTTGCTAATCACTCTTCATACTAACAATATCTTAGATTTACCTCAACTTACTAGGCCTACTGTCAAACAATTGCGGAAATTTCTCTCAGTTTACAATGAAAACTACCAGGCCTTAAAAACTCTTGGTCATGATATTGCTAATGAAAGTTTGCTTTTGACAACGCATATTTTGCGTAAATTTGATTCTGCTCTCCGCACTAAGTTTGAACACTCACGTAATGACTCAAAAAAGGTCCCTACTATCAATGAATTAATTCATTTCTTGGAAAATAAATGTACACAAGAGGAGGCTGCGGAGTTAGCTTCTGTTTCGAACAAAACATTTTCACCAAATGAAAATAAGAGTGTTAAATATGGTATTAAGAGGTAAAATTGTGAGAAATACCTTTAGATCCTAAAACTGAAGATCCATTAGGGTTTTGGTAGAACAGGAACAAGATGAGCAGAGAAGCGATGGCTCTGGCCAGAGTGACGAGAATCGAAGGACCACAGATGAAAGATGATGTTGAGAAATGACTATTGTTGTGTAGTATGTAATTCTTCACTGATTTAAATTAAAACTCTTCTTCATTAATAAAAAGAAAGCAATTCACTACTCATGAATATTCTGGACTGTACACG